TAAATTTCCTATCAAATGTTCTGCCCGACAACATCCAATATGACCTATTTTCGTTCAGGGTGTTTGAATATGTCCCACCGTTACAACAATGCTTCCGGTGCTTCAAGTTCAACCACCCTGCGAAAATTTGTAATGGTAAACAACGTTGCTCGATATGTGCTGGGGAACATAATTTCAGAGACTGTGATAAAAAAGAAAACCTGTGTTGTGTCAATTGCAGTGGTCCCCACCTGGCCATTTCCAAATCTTGCCCAATAAAAATGAAAAAAATTCTTGAAAAAAGGGTAAAATTACTTATGCCTCTGTAGCTAATACAATTAAGTCATCTGATTTTCCGTCTTTACCTGCACAGTCGAGCAGCATTGTTAAGACCCTACCATCAATAAACCAAAATGTACATAAATTAAATAAAAATGTAAAAATTGTAAATAATGTAAATAAAACAGTGCCTGAACCCAACTTGAACCAAACTCAACTTAAGGCTCAAATTGCAAACAATAAGAATATTTTGATGGCAATGGTCCAAACTTTAGTCGAATTAGGTAATAAAACAGATAATGAACCTGTGACTACACTGTTCATTAAAGACTTACTTTTAAAAAATCTGTCACAATAATGGACAGTACAGCAGTTATGTATAGCTCAGTACAATATTCAAAGTATACATAGGAAAAAATCCTTATTGTCTAAATTTTTAGATGAACAAAATGTTGATATCTGTCTACTCAATGAAACTTGGCTGAAAGATACTCAGCATTTTAACATTTCGGGATATAATTTCCACTATCATAATGCCCAAAATGAGCATGGTGGAGTAGCAATTTTGATCAAACCGTATTTTAAATATAATATTATTCAAACCAGATTTTACCAAGACATTCAGACTGTGGCATTATTGTTATATGTAAGTGGTAAACAATTAACGATTTTATGTGTATACTGCCCTCCATAGAATAGTAACTTCAGAATAAGTAAACTGCGTGATATAATTAGAGATTTGCCTAAGCCAATATATGTGGCTGGAGATTTCAACGCTCACCATGTGGCATTTGGGTGTATGACCACGAAAAGTCGGGGTCATCAGTTATACGATTTAATTGATGAATTCGATCTATGTGTCCTCAACAATGGTAGCTTCACTACTATTAATTATCCTAACCGAAATCCATCGGCTATTGATGTCAGCTTTTGGAGTGCTTCAATCACTCCACTATGCGAATGGTGGGTGCGTGATGATTGTATGGGGAGCTATCATTTTCCTACGCTTACTCGTGTTTTATTGTCAGTTGATAGATACCAAATTAATCCTCCCATTGAAAAATTCTTATACAACAAGACAGACTGGACAAAATACAATGAGCTGTCTATAACTGCTTTTTCTAATTTTGAAGTTAATAATGAGAATCCATTAGAGTCATATGATGAATTTATTGAAAGGCTTGATACACTTAGGAGAGATACTGTGCCAAAGTTTGTCAAAGCAAACAACTATCGTTGCAAACCTCCAGCACCTTGGTGGAGTGACACATGTGAACAGAGTGTTATTAAAACTTATGAAGCTTTAAAACTGTACAGAAGAGATCCAACCATTGATAATTACATTAATTACAAAATACTTAATGCTGTTAAGAAAAAGACTATTTCAGAACATAAACGCAATGGTTGGGCTAACATCTGTAATACTTTTAACAGAACTACACCTGTTAGTATTATTTGGAAATACATCAAGTTATTTAAACGAATAAAATGCAATAATAGAACATATAAAGACGAATTTGTAGTCCCTCTTTTAGACAAATTATCTCGAAATGGATGTAGGGTTATTGATAATCTAGAAAGTTATTTTCAAATTAATAATAGTCTTCAGAAGTCCAGTTTCCTCATAGAACCCTTTACTTGGAGTGAGTTTTGTACAAGTTTACAATCCAGACGAAACACAACCCCTGGTTTAGATAATTGTCCATACATTTTGATCAAAAACCTAAATCAGTCCGTACAAAAGAAACTATTAGCTAATCTTAATGCTCTTTGGCACTTAAAAAAAATTCCTGAATCTTGGAAAACACAGTGTGTAATCCCTCTACTTAAGCTTGACAAGCCACCTGAAGATCCTAATTCATATCGTCCTATATCTTTGTCATCTTGTGTTGGAAAGCTTAATGAAAACATGATAAAGATGCGTCTTGAGTGTTATGTAGAGGCGAACAACATCATTCCACATGTTCAATATGGCTTCCGGAGAGGCAGAAGTTGTGCTGACAGCTTCATCTCTCTCTTGTCAGATCTGAAATATGCCAATAATAATAATAAGTCCAGTGTTTGTGTTTTTCTGGATATTGAAGGTGCGTTTGATAATGTAGATCCTGGCATTTTGGTTCAAGTTCTTTCTGACATTGGTATACCAGGCATACTTTGCCATTGGTTATTTAATTTTTTAATAGATAGAACTTTGTATATAAGGCATAATAATATTCTCCATGGTCCCAGAAGGGTCTCCAAAGGCACAATGCAGGGGGCTACATTATCTCCATTGTTGTACAACATATACACTAGTCAAATTCTTAATTTTGTAAATATAGAAGGTGTAAATATTTTACAATTTGCGGATGATCTTGTAATATATTGTACAGACCATAATGTAGATAGAGCTGTAAATAGTATAAATAATGCTTTAGAGCAATTGTACATATATTATAATGACAAGTTGGCTCTACAGATTAACCCTAACAAAAGCAAAACCATGATTTTTAGTAAAGATTTTCCCTCTAATGGCATACTCTACAACAATCATCCAATTTCAGTTGTATCTAACCATAAATTCCTGGGTGTTGTCATTGATAACAAACTTTGTTTTAATTTACACATCAATCACATTATAACCAACTCTCTTAAGGGCTTAAATATTATAAGATGTTTAGCTGGTGTGACTTGGGGTGCAGACCCCAAAGTTTTAAGTATGCTATATAAATCTATAGTCAGAAGCCATTTCGACTACAGTTGTTTAGCCTACTCAAATAGTAGTTGTGTAAAAAAACTAGACATAATTCAAAACAAAGCTCTGCGAATTATTTCTGGGGCTATGTGTTCAACTCCCATACGAGCTATGGAAGTTGAAACCAAAATAATGCCACTGTGTCTTAGAAGACTTCTGCTAATAGAGATATATTTACTAAAGCTGGTATCTGGTAATGATAATGTTCTCAAAAAAATAGTACCTTTTCCTTTACAATGCTCGGTCCAGCAGACTTCGGGAGGTGAGCTTTTACAAGGTTATTTTCCAGTTTTGCCTCTCATTGTACAGCAATGAATGAAGATTTTAAAAATGTAATTAAACAATCAAAGTGGACATGCTACACATACCCATATTCCTGTATTATATTTGAGACCAATATTGTTACCAAAAATTTTTTTAATAATTGTGAATTATTAAGTTTTATTTCCGACAATAACTACTATACTTTGTATACAGATAGTAGCAAAAGTGAGCTCTTTGTGCGCAGTGCCGTTTATGATCCACAATGCAAGTTTGGTCAAAGTTTTCTTCTGGACCCTAAATGCAGTGTTTTCACTGCAGAGGTATATGCGGCCCTCGAGGCCCTGAAGAGGATTGCACATATAAATAGTTTTAATAATTTTTTATTTTTAACAGACAGTTTAAGTATGGTCCAAAGTTTAACTAATCTCAGATTTGACTTTAAAAAAAACTATATTTTGTATAATATTAAAAAATTGTTATTTAGTTATGCAAAAAAGGGTATACAGGTCTCTTTCATGTGGATTCCATCACATAGGGGCATAACAGGAAATGAGATAGTAGATAAAATTGCACGTGATGGAACCAACATGTTGGATGTTTTTTTTTATTTTTTATAAGATAAGGGTGACAAACGAGCACACAGTCCACCTGATGGTAAGTGGCTGCTGCGGCCCATAGACATCTACATCTATCCTCTGTTACAAATCAAAATGTAGATGCGTTGTCACCCGTGAGGACTAAGATGGAATGCCTCATTTCCAGTAAAAAGGGCCTCCGGCCACCTGCACTCACCAAAGTAAAACTAGCTCCATAGTAAAAGTACCTTTGACCGACTGTTATCAATCTATTGACAACCAGGTCAATAGCTTATGGGTCGAATTTTGGAAACAAGATCAAGAACAGAAGGGTAAATGGTATGGAACTGTTCAAGAAAAACTACCTGTAGCACCATGGTATAACAAACTGAAAATGGCCAGTCGGGACTTTGTTACCACTATAAATAGACTGCGCTTTGGTCACTCCACCGTCCCGGCCCACCTGGCTCGATTGGGCATAGTGGAGAGCAGTTACTGCACCTTCTGCAATAATTCTGTTGGTGATATCGAACATTTCATATTTACATGTGAGTGCTTTTCATTTGACAGATTGATTCTTGTCAGTGTAATTAGTGACATAGTGCAAAATGAAGTGACAGTGCAAGATCCCTCCCGCCGCCTGAGTGATATGTTAAAAAATAGATCCTATTACGTGCCTCTATATAAATTCATCAAAAATACAGTGGGGAAATTATAATAAACCGAATAAAAATACTCAAGACTTGGCCTAAAGGTCTAGATGCCAGGCCATAAACTCCAAAAAAAAAATCCATAGACTCACAATCTCACAATACACTAGCTTGCTACATATATATTTATCTATGCAATACACTAGGTAAAATCACTAGGGATGTGCAAATGAAAAAATATATCCATATATATTGTATACATATTTTTAATCATAATCGATATATATCGCGTGATAAAGATCGATATATCGTTATGTTTTGCATGATGTAATAGGATAAGACCCACAACAGCGCCTGAAGGCTTTGTAGCTGCTTTTGTTGCTTAATGTTATGTCGATTAATACAACATTTTATAATATATCAAAATTGATACGAATTCGATACTCCAAAATAAATATCGATATAACGATATATCAAGCCTAAAATCCTAAAAATCAGTATAATGTAGTTTGTGGTATAATGCCAAAACAAGAACTCGATGGCGATGGTTTTCAAATAGTTACATCTAAACGTTGCACTAAAAATAAACAAACCAAAGTTCCTCGCAAAGAGGTGGAATTCATAAAACAAGAAAACTATATTAACGTTGAGACATCCTATCAGTAAGTATCAATTTATTACGCTTAATCCACTGCACTTTGAGGTTATATTTTATCGTTGCTTTTGTTCTCAGGCGAGTTTTGACTGCAGTAGACGAAATAAAAGAATCCAATTATTTTAGCGACGTTCAGAAAGCTGTGAGTACCATAATAAACGATACAATAATATCAGAAATTGTTTGTTTTGGACTCGGTCATATCGGAGAGTGCAATATTTCTCGTTATCAACTTGCATTTTTATTATGTTTAAAGGACACTTTCAAACCACAAGAAGTGTTAGTTCATGATCCTATATTTTATTTAGGTGAATGTGAATTACTTACACGATTAGGTCTCACAATAATTGAGAGAAATAATGAGGGAAGTTATGTAATATCTGACGTAAACAAAACTCTTGTATATCTACCTCATTGCCCTAAGCAATTAACAAACAACTTTCTTTGGAGTAATTGGGGTGTCCAATTAGAAAATTGCATTCTCCTTTGCAATAGCTTCACATCTTTAATAGAAAATCATCCTAGTAGAATATTATCTAAAAGTGTCCCTTACATTCATAAAATATTTCCTTACTTTGATGAAATTTTATTAGAAAATACTTTTAATTACAAAGATATTTTTAATGATACTTCAATTCATTATATAAAAAAAGAAAAATTAGCTAAACTAGACTCAGACTTTTGGGCAAAAAATGAGAAGCCTAAATATGAAGATTTAGAAGAAATTATAACATCAGTCATGGTTGAAAAATTAGATATTTAAATTCTTTTAAGGGTTGAGTATGGCATCCATAACATCAAAACCAGCTTTAGTGACCTTGAGGCAGCTACTTTCAGAGCTAAGAAAGCAGAGTTCATCTAATAAATTAACAGAAAATGAAATGGCTCGGTTCATTTTGAACCAGTATAGAAAATATCAGTCAACAGACCAGCAGCTTTGTAAAGCGATTGATGAAATGCACTTTAAGGCAAAATGTTATTGTGACTACCTACATAATTGTAGAAGATACAAGGAAATTAATGCAGAGTTCAAAGGGAAAGGAGAGAGAAGTGTTGAAGATACAGCTAGAATGGTCGGTTTCAAGCTTCCTCATGACCCGAAGTAGTAAGAGTTTTAACTAAACTAATAATATATATAACTAATATAATAACTAATAATGTAATGTATTATGTAAATACAGATAGTAAATAGACTTGTGTTTTAATTTAAACATGAAAATGTTTGTTCAATTACAATCTACACTTATTAATACATATAATAAAGAGGAAAGATTTTTTCGTTTGTTTAAATATGCTAATCTTTGGAACTACTAGTTTGAAGAATTTTTTTTATATATGATAGCCAGATTCATGAGGAATATTATACACTATCTAGCATTAGGCTACACCTCTGAGCTAGCTTTAAATATTGATTTTTGTTAAGGAAGTCTGAAGAAAAAGCATCTCTGAATTTGTACTTGTGAAACTGTGGGGCACAGCTAGTTAGATATATTTATACAAAGAAAAGTAGTTGTTACGGACTTTATCCGTATATTAATTTATTGTATATTCCTGACATTTCAAGCACTTTACAGCACCTATGGTCACGTCATAGTAATGTGCTCAAAATGTCAGGTATATAATATAAGTTAATATATGCAATAAAAGCTATAAAACCTAGTTTTATTTAAATGTGTACTGTACCTGCAAAAACTACTTTAGAGAAATAAATGGTCAATGTTTGTATTGACATTCAGTGTTAATAGCTTCCATATGGTGCCTTCGCTTCTGATTTTTGATAAAATTTTACTATATGAATTTCTCCAAGAATTTCTTTTGATATATAAATTTAACCTGAGTATGGCATAGATGGATTGTAACTCAGGACCGTACTTTGTGGCATTCCTTGGGGGAGGCCTATGTTCAGCAGTGGACCTCCTGCCGTCGCCGAATCATTACTTTTTTCTAATTTTCCACAAAATATAAAAAATGTGAGTATATTAAATAGACTGTAATGCATGTTTAGCTTAGGGTACCTGTGGTTGCACATTTTGGCTTACTTCAATAAGTTGCATTTTGTACTTCATGGGATAGCATTAAGAAAGCCTATATTTAAGTGTATAAGCCGATCTAATTCCACCAATTTCGGTTACTTATTGAGCCAAGGTAGCCACAGGGTATAAGAGCACATATTTCACTGTAAGTATGTGGGTAACATGAATTTGTTTCCTGTCAAGCACTAATTCAATTATTAATTACTATTTTAAAAGACAATTTACCACTTACTCAAAGGTGAAAAAAAACATGAGTAAATGTGCATGTCAATAAAGAAGATATAATATGTAGAGAATTTCTGAAGTTCACCAACTTGCTTTACAGCAGCGTGGCAGACTGTTTCAAAATTCTCTTAGAAATAAGAGGAAGCCTGTGCGCTTTGCGTAGACTGTTAGATTATTTCAATAAGTCTACTGCTGTACATTGGCTACTAGAAATCTTGCATCTTCTACGCTGCTGCCCATTGTTGGTCTATACAACTTGGCCAAACAATTAGGCACATGACAGGAATGCGGTTTCGGTGCCCGCATCCTGCCTCTATCCCTGCGCTTCCCCTAGTGACCAATCATTGTTCCGTGTTCCCTCCCTAGTTCTAATGACGTTAATGTTGTGTGTCTTATTGTTTTGGTCACTCATAATGGCTGGTCTGGCTGGATGACTATTTTTTAAATTGCTTGTAAATATGATAGCCTTTTGACTAAATTTATTCATACAGATAACCTTCAATTTAAAACCCTTTTTTTTAATTAGAATGAAGAAGACAAACGAGCAAACAGTTCTCCTGTTGGAAAGTGATTGCTGTGGCTCATATATTGAGCGGTTTCCCACTCGCCTGCACGGCACGGCGGTACCCAGTGACTGTAAAATACACAGCGTCATCGGCGCACGAGATACTCCGATCACCAATTCGCTCGCGAGTTTGACCTTAATGGAAAAAGTTCTTTCCAATCATATTTCCTGTTCTTCTGCACTGCCTTTCTTGTTTGCTTCGTTGGTGTAGTGGTCGTAAGCGCCAATTGCTAATCATGAGATCCCGGGTTGGAATCCCGTATCGAGCCAAAACTATTTATTGGATATTTCTGTCAAGAAATTCTCAGTAGCAGTATATATACACTTTGTAGAGCCACGCTATAGCTATATTAGTTGTAGCACGAATGGGTCGGCTCGAACGGAGTGTGACCACGCTCTCACAAAGTACCAGCGTAAAATAGCAGCTTAAAGCTACTTTGTTTCGTATGGTGAGTGTAAAGAACCGGAGACCCATTTTACTGGATACAACTGGGTGACAAGTCATCTGCATCGTGATTCTTAATCGAGGATAAATGTAGGTGTCTATGGCCACAGCATCCATTTACCATCAGGTGGACTGTGTGCTTGTTTGTCACCCTAATTCTATAAAAAAAGCAGCCCGTAGTCAGAAGTTGGTGCTGTTTCACCCCTTTGCCTCGGAAAGCCCGTAAAGTTGTTGATCCTGCACATGATCCCCTCTGCGTGTGTCAGATTGTCATCCCATTGGACTATGTGAGTGAGGGAATAAAGAGTGCACCTGCGCTTGCGCATACACTTGGGCACTATAACCCTGTCCTGCGCAGATGGCTAGTCTCAGTTTAGACTGCTGTGACCGAAATCCAGCCTGGAGGACTTTTACTGTTATTCGGTTTTAAAATGTTGAAAATATTGTTTTTAGGATTGAAATTGATAATGAATGTATACAGTATTATGTATTTATTTACAATAAAAAATATATTACAAAATAGATGTTCAAGTTCTAACAATACTGAACTATAGTATTGCCAGTGTTAAAAATCCCATTTACTGTTTATATTCTCTCTCGATGAGTTTAGCGATGGTTTGTAGTTGCATGTTGCTGGTGCCTTCGTAGATGGTGCCGATTTTAGCGTCCCTAAAGAATTTCTCTTGTGGGAAATCTCTTGTGAAGCCAACTCCGCCCATGAAGTCTATGCATTTCGAGGTTAGGGTTTGAGCAATTTCTAAAAAGAATGTTTTAATTAATAATTGGCAAATTACAAAATTATATAATATCGTGCAAGTGAAGTCTTGAATGTAAATAAAATATGAAAACAGTAAATTTCGCCTATTCTACTTTGGGTATAGGTTAGTCAGTCTAGGTAACATTTGTGCTGCTAAGCATCTTTCACAGCCCATCACAAGTGCATTGCTGAGCCGCCTGCAGTCATCGACTTCCTGCAACTCTTACCAGGTCGTCACTCCATTTAGTGGGCCTTCCTACACTTAGACTTGTGATGGGCCGTAATGATAATGATGATTATAAAGCATATAATTCTGTTTTATGATTTGAAGGGTATGAGAGCCAGTTTAATTACAGGATATTAAGCTTTCCATTTCAGTCTTCAAGGATGACCAAACGACTTTAATAAAATAGAAATATTGTATTCAATGTAGATTATTAACAATACTTATTGAAATTCATTTTTTGATCTTGACTTTGATGAATAGATTTGTCGTTGGCTACAGTTACAGCTAGTGGTCATCATCATTACAAGCCAAGTCCACCACTGAGCATAGGCCTCTAGGGAAGGTCTAGTGGCCAATTTCAATACCTAATCCTTTTATTAAAAACGAAGTTATGATTAATATTGTAAGTTACCTGATGCGAAATATTTAGCCATTGCCGCTTCTTTGACGAATTCTTGACCATGTTCCTTTAGCCTGGCGGCGTTGTATGTTAGAAGGCGTGCGGCTTCCAGTTGTGTTTGCAAATGGGCTATTTGGTAGCTAATACCCTAGGAAATAGAAGTTGATATATGTTTTTATAACTAAATTGCTAGGGAACTTGAAAACGTGGAAACTATGCCCCATCTTTGCGGGAGGCCTTTGATGGGCAGTGGTCTTATATAGGATAAATTAATAGGAAAAATGTCGTGTTGTACCACCTGCGATTGGCGGACGAAGATCTGAAAATTTACTACACAATCAATCAAAATTTCACCGAATGGTAATAGGAAGCCGATTCAGCCAGCAAGCACACATTTTAGGGTGTGGGCGAACCTTCCAAACTGCTTGTGAGTTGACGTAATCTCAGAAAGGCCTTTGTCCATCAGTGGACTTAAATATACTGTTGTGTGTTAATGTAGAAAATTGTACATTTTTAAATGGCAATATTCAGTAAAAAGTGAAGTTGCAGTTGATATACGTTCCATAGCCAAGCACAGGGCCTCTTTTCATATAGGGTGTACAGTCAGATAGTTGTTTGTTTAAATATTAACCTAGTTTCCCTGCGATAGTTCGACTACCTGGCTGCACATTAATATGGTGGGAGTATTAGACTCTACAGACCGTAACTAAGTTCCCTATACCTAGCAGTCCCTAATACTTTAGCCCTACCATATAAAGATACATACATAAATAACATAAAAGCGGGATGTCTGCACCATGAGATCTACGGTAACAGAATGTTGCTGTTGCAATGTTCAGTGTTGAACAGAGGGTTATGGAGCCATTACCCATTAGCTTTGACATACTGTTCGAAAACGTGTTGGCGGACCTAACATGTTGTCCAAATATTGTATTCCTAAAGACATGTTGATTTCCTCACGGTATTTTTCTTCATCGAAGAACACGTAATACCGGCGGTGACCGAACCCAGGTTGCTCGTTTACGGTAATATTTATGCCGACCACTGAGTTACCATGGCTCTAAAATATTTATATGTAGACAAAATAATATGATTCATGATATAAAACTGTTTAAGTGCACAAAATACCTGGAACGAGTAGATGCTTTTGCCGAATTGTTTCCTATCCAGCGTGTACGGGATGGTCGCGTCCATACAACCCTGGCAAAGACCGATCATTTGGGCCGCGATACCAATACGACCCTCGTTCAGGAAACCAGCCGCGTATTTGTACCTGTGGGGGAAATTTAAGGTTATTAGAAATTTATCATTACATATCAGGCAATGATAAATTGCCTGATAATGATAAATTGGATTGAACACTTGGATTTTTTTTTTCAGAAAATAAGTGTAACAATCGAGCCTATAGTTCACCTGATGGTAAGTGAATACTGTGGCCCATAGACACATTTATCCTCAATTAAGAATCAAAGTGTAGATACGTTGTGAGCTAAGGACTAAGATAGAAAGCCTCGTTACTCTGGTTATGCTGTTTTATCAAGCTGGTATACTTTACGAGCGTGGTCAAGCGGTCCCACTTGTGCTGCAGTAATGATTGGCTGCGACATTTGTTAACCACGTAATTATTGATGTTTCTTAGGTCACCGGGGCATGTTAAGCTAAGGGTTGAGCAATATTAAATAAGGATATTTAGCATATATTAGCGGCGTAAAGGAGATCAATCACCCTTGCTCATCCCATTGGACGAAACGAAATCTTGAGGACGCAGAAACCAAATAACGGTAAGGACAGTAAGTCAAGTCGTAAATTGCTTACTCCATTGCCTTATTACAAGTTATCGTACCACCAACCAAAATACGATGAGGTGAAGAGTGGCGGTGAAAGTATATCCACTACTACATGTCGTTCCGTGGGTGTCGTAAGAGTCGACAGAGGAAAACAAACCAGGAGAAAGGCAGCAGCGTCTTATTAAAAACAGCAGATAAAAAACTACGGTTGCCAAACCAGCCTGCCAAGCGTGGCAACTATGGTAAATATCTTATGAGGCAATCAACGGAGTAAGGAGGAAGTGGATTCGGCCAATATCTAAATGATATAGTTTTCCTACTTTCGGGTAAATATCCCTGTATTTGTGTGTATGAGTGTGTGTATATAGTCCATACTTTCACGCTGCTTACGCAAACAATAATTGACTGTGTATGTGTACCTCACTTATGAATAAAACTCCGTTTGATATATTATGTATTCTTCTTCTTTTTGAAAGCACTTTATAAATGAAGTGACTTCAACATTCACAAGTGGACTATTTTCATCCCAACAGTTATAATTGTGTGTTATAATTTCTGTTTATATTTATGTCATTGATATGTCAGGTAAATAGAGATACATAGCATCTAATATTTAGCTGTTACTAACCCCTTTCCATACTCTCCGAGGATATTCTCCTCGGGTACTTTGACGTTGTCGAAATGTACCATACAGGTGCCGGAGGCCCGGATACCGAGCTTGTTCTCGGGCTTCGCCACACTCAGTCCCGGAGTATCGCGATCTACTATGAAACACGTGATGCCTTTGTAGCCCTGCGACAATTACAATAAATGTTATTTACCCCGTCTAATGCCCTGTGTGTCTTATGAGGCCACTGGGAAATGCCAGAAAAATTCTCATGGTCATGGTAGTATAACTATTTCGTTTTTTTTTTATAGGATAAGGGTAACAAACGAGCACACAATCCACCTGATGATAACTGGTTGCTGTGGCCCAAAGACATCTACATTTATCCTCTATTACGAATCAAAATGCAGATGCGTTCTCACTAGAGGTGTAAGAGTAACGAAAAAAAGCGTACCCATATGTATCCGTTACTATAACAATTAGTACTCGTTACTATCGTATCGTTACGTTACTCGTTACTACTGATACCTTATAACATGTTATGTTAGAGCATCGAATCAAGTCGTATTGCGTACGCGTACAGTATGATGTCGCGGCGTCACAACATTCATTATTTGTAGAAAACATGTTTATATATTAATAAAACTTTGTCTACACACACAATACCTTTAATAAACACTAAAAAACTTGTACGACGAATTACCAAATTATAATTTACATACTTAATAAACAAACATCGCTCTTTATAACGTACGAATAACCGTGCGCATGCGTAAAACATACGATCAGCTAATATTTCTATACACACATCAACGGTACTTGCGTGAACTGGTGCAGTGTAGTTACCCATACTACGAAAAATTCGAGTAACGAAATGCATTCGTGTGTAACGTTTCGTTACTCGGTACTAGATGGCGCACCCGTTACTCAGTACCGAGTACATACGGTTTGCAACAGCTTTAGTTGTCACCCGTGAGGACTAAGATGGAAGGCCTCGTTTCCTGTAAAAAGGGTCTCCGGTTTTCTACACTCATCATACGAAACACAGGAGCGTTAATCTGCTATTTTACGATGGTATTCTGTGAGAGCGTGGTACTTCCCCGGCCGAGCCGACCCATTCGTGCTACAACTATACCAGTAATATAGCTGCAGCATGGCTCTACCACGTAAAGAATCGCCTACCAAGCATTGGCGGTTGGAGCAAATCCTCTACCATGGGGAGACGTCCATGCCCAGCTGTGAATTTTTATGAACTGATAGTCTATGTCAAGTCTAAGTCTGAAGATTACAACAATAATAGTCGACAATTCCTGATGATCTAGCTATCGAACACAGCAAGAAATCTATTCTGTCTTATTACTAAACATGGTTTAAAAGAAAAGAATAGAATATAACGATTTTTATCCAACATTGATTATTACATAAAAGTTATTGAAAGTAATTTTTTTATTAACCACTGGTCCGGAAAATACATCTGTCGTGGGAAGAACCAGCAAGAAACCCTTCGGGATTTTTTTAAATATTGATCGTCTTGGGCTTAAACTATGGATAAGTATAAGAATAGCCTTCCAATCATAGAGGTCCCCCGCGCCACAGTTTTCGCGAAATTTTACCTTTCCTGTCAAATTTCATACATTACATTTTAGTTCCCATACTTCCTCTGGACTTCTTTTATGTGAAACAGATTTTATATTTAATTTCTGCTTCGAAATTGGATATTAATTAAAGCATAATTAATAATTCATAATAATTAATTTTAATATATGATGTATTCCTATTTGTCTTGTTTTATAATTACATTACAAATTGCATCACTCTTATGATAAGCAAAATGGGTCACCGATACTATCCGTGAACTTGTGGCAGACTATGTTTCAGAAAACACAGATATAGTTTGCTTACTTTGGATATGAAATTACAAAAATCAAAATATATTATATTTAGGGTCGATTTTCAACCATCAGATAAAAGTCATTCATGGAATAAAATACATCAAACCAAATTAAAAATTACTGTTGTATGAATAAAAGAGTTCAATTGTGTCACTTTTAGGCGGCTGCTGATCATGAAGACCCGGGTTCGAATTTCGGGTTGGGTCAAAAAATCATATTTTTCAGTCAGAGCCTTTTTGTTAAGAAATTTTCAGAAACAACCTGGAGTCAGGAAATTGGCGTTACTTGACCCCCATGGTGTCTCGGAAAGCACGTAAATCCGTTGGTCCTGCTCTTGCGCCTGATCTCTCTCCGGTTGTGTCGGGTTACCGTCTAGTCGGATTATGCGAGTGAGAGCATAGAGTGCATCAGTACTTGCGGATACTGTCCTGCGCAAATGGCTAGTCTTCGTTGAAACAGATCGCCGTGATCGAAATTTGGATATTATATTCAGTTGGCGGCGCCGTGGCGCAGTGGCTTGGCAATGAGTCACAACGCTAAAGGCCGCGGATTCGAATCCCGCACGGAACAAGTATTTGTATTCAAAATTTGTCTACAAAAATTGTTCCGAGTCTGGATGTTTCTCCTTGTGAAATTTATATATGTAAACTCCCACGATACAGGAGAAAATCCTAATGTGGAGATAACGTTAAAAAAATGAAATGAATAAGGAGTTATCTATACTATATTTATAATATAATAAAGCGGAAGAGTTTTTTTTGTTTTTTTGTTTGTTTAAACGCGCTAATCTCTGGAACTACCAGTCCGATTTGAAAAATTCTTTTTGTATATTATAGCCAGATTTATGTTGAATATTATAGGCTATCTAGCATTAAGCTATATAACTCAGCTAGCCTTAAATATGGATATTTGTTAAGCAAGTCAGAAGAAAAAGCACTCCCGAAATGATTTATCCGCGTACGCTGGTGTTATCGTTAGGGATACGTAAATACAATGTTCTAGAAAAATATAGACCTTTACTCCGTCTAAAAAAAAGTCCGCGATACCATATGTCTATTTGTTATACATAAGCCATAATTTGGTATTTTATGACAAATAAATATTGAAAATTTAAAAGTGATTTATGAGCGTTATTATTAGGCATGGCCTATTTATCCTTACGAACGAAAGTTACTTCATCAAGACAATTTTATGAAGATAAACTTTGTTCTTTATACCATGTTATTTGGACGCATAGTTTAAGAGATAATGTAAAATTAAAATAATTCAATAGTTGGCTGGGCGCGAGAGCGACGCTTAAACCCCGTTATAAAATGCTTGAACTAGGTCATGTCGCGCACCTCGGACACGTGATGACGCGGGTGAACCCGCGGGGCACAGTTAGTAACTTATAATTTATCTGATGGATAACTTATCTGAAGATTGAAAAGTTTTTTTAAGTTATACCTTCTTTTGAGGCGTTTGGGAAAAATGATGAGAGTGAATTTTTACGATACGCGCGCATACCGACAGCTACAAACGACACCATGAAGTTGTTACGATGCGCGCTGACACTTAGAAGCGATAACTTCAGTAGGTAATTGTCTCTCAAGTTTTTTGTTTAATTACGTTAAAGAAGTACCTATAACTTCCTACGTGCGTACATAAGCACACACACACTTTTTTGAAATAGAAGTGACAAAAGAACATATATTTAGTCAGTAAGTTGCTTACTGCAGCTCATGGACACTTGCAAATTTTTTTTTATAGAATAAGGATGACAAACGAGCACACAGTCCACCTGATGGTAAGTGGTTGCTGTGGCCCATAAACATCTACATCTATCTGCGAACAGATGCGTTATCAGCCGTGAGGACTAAGATGGAATGCCTCTATCCCAGTAAAAAGGGTCTCCGGTTCTCTACACTCACCATACGGAACACAGCAGTGTTAAGCTGCTATTTTACGCTGGTATTCTGTGAGAACTTGCAAACTTCAAATAAAGAAGGCTACAGATTCGTTGTAGTCTCTGAGGACTAAGATAGAATGCCTCACAGCCTGTATACTGGTTGTATAGATCTTTCAGACCGGGACACAGCAGTGCGGCAGGTGTTTGTCGAAAAAAAATATCATGTCAGAAATAGATAAGAGTATGATTTCTACAAAGATAACAAGAGCCTCCTCTTTTACAAGGCCGGCAACGCACCTGCAATTCCCCTGGTGTTGCTGCTGTTCATGAAAGCTGGAGTCATTTACCATTAGGTAAGCATGATCGTTTGCCACCTCTTATACAGGGTTATTTTGCATTAACCGGTCAACTTTGCAGACAAGGTTCAGAATAAGTAATATAGAGAAAAATATCTCAAATATTATTTTTATCTTTTAAATTCAAAATGCGTGGTAATGCATTATTTTAACTGATTTTACTGCGCATGCACACACTCGTAAGGGTCGATCGGTAGGCAAAAACCTTGTTGCCCATAAATCGCATTCAATTAGGGATAATTTCAATTAAAAGTAGAAGCATTATTTACTTGTATTTTCAAAAACTGCAATTACGGTAGAAAAAAGGTACGGTTAACGATAGTTATTTATATATTTGTACTTAAGTTTAAGGCTAAGTTCATACGACCGCGCGGTACAAGATCAAAGGAAATGGCAATGCGCGGCACGCTCCGATCCGCGCGCAAGATTTTGAGCGTATATATATATGCCGTCATGTGAATGCTCCAACATATAAACTTAGCCTTAAATTTAGCTACTCTTTGAAAAATAAGCCTGTATAAACAAAGACGGACTACTAGGCAGAGAAGTAGTCCTACCACCTACCACCACATACACAAGCATTATAAGAAAAATTTATATTATTATTGAACAAAGACTTGGACCTACCTTGCTAGGATCGGCATTAGCCATAACTAAGAAGACACCGGCGACATCCGAGTTGGAGATCCACATTTTGGAGCCGTTGATGATGTAGTGGTTGCCCTCTTTCTTCGCGACCGTCTTCAGCGCGAACGCGTCTGAACCCGACGTGGGCTCGGTCAAGCAGAAACTGCCAGCCTAGAGATAAAACATGTCGGTTAAGTCTATTTTAGTATTTTCATTTTTTTTTATAGGATAGGGTGACAATCGAGCACACAGTCTATCTGATGGTAAGTGGTTGCTGCGACCCATAGACATCTACATTTATCCTCAATAAAGACTCAAAATGCAGATGCGTCGTCATCCTTGAGGACTAAGATGGAATGCCTCTTTTCCAGTAAAATTGGTCTCCGGTTCTCTACACTCACCATACGAAACACAGCAGTGTCAAGTTGCCATTTTACGCTGGTATTCTGTGAGAGCGTGGTCCTTCCCCGGTCGAGCCGGCCCATTCGTGCTACAACTATACTACTAATATAGCTGCAGCATGACTCTACCACGTAACGTCATATACTTACGTCATAAAAATAAAGTTACACAATATAGGCTCCATCATCACATATAAGTGTACCATCATAAGGTCATCGATACCATGTTACGTAACAACTGCCTCGATGGTGGAGCGGTCGTAAGCTCGACTGCTGATCCCGGGTTCGAATCCCGGGTCGGACCAAAAATTAGTTATTTGGTTTTTCCATCAAGATATGGTCAGAGGCATCCCGGGATCAGAGTTTTGGCGGTGTTTTACACCCTTGCCTTGAAAAGCACGTAGAGCTGTTGGATCTGCGCCTGATCTCTCTCTATTCATGTCGGATTACCTTCCCAATGAGCTTTGAGACTAGAGTGTAGAGGTAGTTTCTGTAAGGGTCAATTATAATATATCGAGAACCTGTGAAAATCGCCAATACGTATACGCCAATACTATATACTCGGAAAAGCCTTTTTGTTTGAATCCGTTTTAGAAAATGAGAGGTGACGTTATTTTGTTTTATACTAGCAACCCTGTTGATCTGTTAATGCGGCATGATTTCGGGTCAAGATAATCATCAACCATTCATTTTATCAATATTTCGTTTTCTTACAAAAAAACATGGTTTTTTAGATTAGATATAGCTCTAGGCATTGCTATATGTGTGTTCGTGAAGTTTCATTACAATCGATTCAGCCATTCAGAAGATTAATCCGGGTAGACAGACTGTCAATTAATTTTAAAATTATATTTCAATGTTTTAAAAATGGTTATTCACGTCTAAATGGTATGCAAATAATCACCTCAGCTCAACAAAAGACAGTTATATTTATAGGCGATATTACAGACATACCCCGCAATTTTATTTTTATGTTTAGAATAGCTGTTCCCCGCGATTTCGCTCGCGTATTAGGGTTTTTATGTTTTTGCGCGGAACCCTAATTCTTTTCCTGAAATAAAAGTAGCCTAAGTTACTCCTTATGAAATCAGCTATCTGCCAGTGAAAATCGCGTCAAAATCGGTCCAGTTGTTTCGGAGATTAGCCGGAACAAACAGAAAGACAGACAAAAATTTTAGAAATTGTATTTTAGTTATAAGTATCGTATTTACTTTCATATGCATTTAGTAAAAAACTGTAATTTTGACATTACAAACAGACACTTTTATTTATTTGTATAGATTTCACGATCTAAGTCGTTATAATATATTTTATTTACGGTTTACGGTAGAATAAATAAAGACAATAGCCGTATGATATTATAATTATGTTTTTCATGTTCACATTTATTTGCATAGATATAATCTTGGGTTACTTATATTATTTTTGTTGGAATCACTAAATATTAGAGTTGCAACAAATATTATATTCGGATACACGCCGAATACCGAATATTCTGCGGACAGAAGTATTCTAGCGGGAAGGATATTCATAGCGTCTATTCTCTGAAGCTGAGATTATTCACGAGAAGAAAAGGGGTAAACTAATGCCTGAAAATGACGAAAAATTATTCTTTCTGAACCATTATCTTCCACTATTATTAGGTAAATTCGAGTGCATTTATCTGCTAGTTGTTTTTTATTTTTATAATATTAGGAAGTTGATTGTGTACCTATGATCACTTTAATGATTACTAGAAAAAAAATGTTGCCAGTGATGACTTACGGAACTGAGACGTGGTCCTTAACTGCTGGCCGGATGAGAAAGCTCAAGGTCGCTCAGCGAGCTATGGAGAGGGCTATGCTCGGAGTTTCTCTGCGTGATAAACTTAGGAATGAGGATATCCGCAGTAGAACCAGAGTAACCGACATAGCCCAACGGATTAGTAAGCTGAAGTGGCAGTGGGCCGGCCATATAGCTAGAAGAACCGACAACCGATGGGGAAGAAAGGTTCTCGAGTGGCGGCCTCGTACCGGTAGGCGAAGTGTAGGGCGTCTCCCCACGAGATGGAATGACGACCTGGTAAGACATGCAGGAAGTCGATGGATGCAGGTGGCTCAGGACCGTGCTTTGTGGCATTCTTTGGGGGAGGCCTATGTTCAGCAGTGGACTTGTGAAGGGCTGTAATGATGATGATGATGAGAAAAAAAATTATGAATTAAATAAATATTTTCATTTTACTAATTATCTGACTACAATAAAACCTCTTACTTAAGTATTCTGTATTCAGTCGAATACCTAATAATAGCCGAATATTCGTTGCAAGTCTACTAAATATACTTTTAAGAGGTAGTTATGTTTGCGTGGTAAAATAATTACCTACTTATTGTTCAAAATAATTTGTCGGAGCTGGTCGAAGCATCATTAGTATGCGAAGAATGAAGACAGCCTCCAGCTAATTTAAATTCTGACTGTAGTTCACATTGTATATTATTGTATATAGGTAGTATAGAGTACATAGTACTTGCACTTTTGTAATTTGAAATATATTTAGTTTGGTAAAACTAGGTAAAAGTTAAAAAGATAAAATATTTTTTTTCAAGACATTAAAAGTAAGTATTTTACCTAACTTACTTTTTAATAATTTCTTATATTTACACGAATACTATCTACACATTAAATAAAACTAATTTTACGGGCTTTATCGCGCTTTTCAATACCCGACGTTTCGGGAACTTTACTGCACTCTTAGTCACGGGGAGTACTGAGGTATATGACGTCCAGATGTTATAGTTAACGAAGGCTACCTTCACAGAATACCAGCGTAAAATAGCAACTCAACGCTGCTGTGTTTCGTATAGTGAGTGTAGAGAACCGGAGACTCTTTTTACTGGAAACGAGGCATTCCATCTTAGTCCTCACGGGTGACGACGCATCTGCATTTTGATTTATAATCGAGGATAGATGTAGATGTCTATGCACCGCAGTAACCACTTACCATCAGGTGAACTGTGTGCTAGTTTGTCACCCTTAGCCTATAAAAAAAACTTTTAAATATTAATTCTTGGTCTGATCTACGCAGCACTAGTTTACAGTGTTTTAAGTCTTGCAGTAGTATGCTTGGATTTGGATTTATCTCAAGTAGATAGTAGTACTCAGCTTATACCGAGGAACTGATAAAGAGGCATTATTAACAAAGAACCCTTGTAAGGTAAATATATAGTAATCTGGTCGCTACTTAGTAAGCATTGCCAACATGCAGGCACGGCCCGCAATCGGTGAGCACGAATTTGAGGATCTGTCAAAAAGATTTTTTAAACTTTGGGATAGCGCTCCTATCCCACACCAGGATTTTCTCCTGTAGGTACTGAGCCTTTAAAAACGGCAACAGACATTTAGACCCAGAACAACAGACTCGAAACAAATTTTAAGTTAGGATCTTGTTTGTATTATAAAAAGAGAAATATCAGTAGATTGAAATTGTCTCAAAATTTTTATAATCACAGAAATTTAAATACTCAAATGGTTTTCTTTGTTTACTATTATATAATACATTACAACTAGATACTGATCATAATATTGAAATACATTACAATAAATTTAAATACAATACATAATCTCCTTCATCAATTTAACACTAATGTAACTATATGGACTTATATGTACTAATGTTATTAAATTTCGAATCCATACATTTTATTATTATTATTTTAATTATATACAATATTAAAAAAATAATAATAAAAAAAAACTAAAACTAGAAACTTAATTATCATACAGTCCTACTCCCCGCGGTATTGTGCCAAGAACGCTGGCTGCGTTTCCCCGCTGAATGGCTATACTTAGCCTTTGAGCGAGAAAAGAACCAGCCCTCTTATCACCAGCAGCAACGACCAGCCGCAGATGGAGTTCCTTTAAGAACTCCACCGCACGTGGACCCCACGGACCGATAGTCTCTACAGCAAATGGCACAAATATGTAGTCATCTCTCTGAGACTCATATTTGCGCCACTTACTCAGTTCAGCTGCCTCTGATGCCGCCCCGGCTCTAAACGAGGTACCCCTGAGATGAGAGGCCGCCAGAGTGTCTACGCAAGTAGCATCCCACACTAGGGCTTTACCTCTCTCCCAAGGGACCAATGTCATACCGTCGGGTTATCGTATCGGACTTACTTGCGCAGTTACTTTTTTATAATAAAGTAGCTTTTTACCCGCGGCTTAGCTTGCGTGGGCATCAATTTAGAGACATCGTTAATACTAAATACTTCGTATCGAAATTAGCAAAATTGGATCATTTGTGATACACCTTGCTATCTGTCTATATTGGACGAAAAATAATTTAAATTTGGCAATATAATATGCTACAGAAACATATAAGTGTATTTATCAGAATTGCATTAATATCATACGTCTAGCAACACCTCGCAATTGCATTTAATATAGTATTTACTTAAATAACGTTGAATTACATTAGTAGTGTTTATTTGCGTGATTTGATTCAAATTATTGGCCCCATTTAATATTGATTGGCACCATAAAATACTTGCCAGTATCTTTTTACGTTCAAGTAGACTTCTAGATTTCATAAATGCAGTTCTATTCACGGTGTGAATAGAACTGCTTTTTATTTTCAACGTGTGAGAAGAACTATATTCATGAATGGAAGTAGAAATATACAGAAGATGGACAGAACAGTCTTCCTGATAACAGCTCAAAATAATAAAAATATGGAGTTGGCAACTCGCATGCCAAGCGTGGCAACTACATCGAAACGTAGGTATTTACGTTTGG